ACTAACGAGAAAGATGTTAACATAATCAACGATATGTCAAGCCAATAGGTGTACAAATTGTAATGCGACAATGCAGCAGTTAATATTTTGACTAGAAAAAACAAACATAAATTTTACATTTATACTAGACCCAAAGTTGGCCATAAACATGCAGCACTGCAGAGATGAGAAGGCAAATTCAGGAGAATCAGCCATGTGAATAATGAAAACTTAATGGTAGCGCAAGAAAGTATTATAGATACATTGAAATCAAGGTTCATGAAGTGCTAGGAGAAATGATTTCATGACCGCATCATCTGTTCTTCAACTTTAATTTCCTTTATCCACAAGGGCAGGCTGTTAAAAAAATCTTCCATTACAGAAAACCATTTATCCTCTTTCCCACTTTTAAAAAAAATCCCCAATATTGAAGCTTCTCAAAACATAGCTAATGCTCAGAACCAAGATAAGCTTCAACAAACATGAGCTCACGATTATAAGACCTCCATATAATTAAACAAGGGTTAGTAGGAAGACATTTAGGAGAAGAATGTAAGTAAGCCAAAAGCTTGACCAAAACCCTGTCAGAGTTCCGCATGGTGTGAGAAATGTCAACCAAGTCCAAATTCAGACTGGAAGATACCAAATTCAAGTTTGACTGACACAAACCACACCTGTTGCATTCTATTCAAGTTAGGTGCATTTAGTTTGACCTCTCAGTCCTCCTCAGCGGATTCCACACACAAGTTATGAGATGACAATTGGTCATAGATAAATGATTAGTTGATTGTGAGCTATTGGATATTTTGAGTATTTTCTGAAGCAGTCTGTATCTAGAGTTGTTAAATAGATTTGCGCTCAAATTGAGTACCTGGCTTCATTTTATTTTAAAGAAAATGTATGTGTTATTAATGTGGAGAAGCAACTTACTACCTTGTCTAGATAATCACAGTTGTCATCTAAATGAACTGCAGAATGATGCTTAGCTTTTCACTTGTATAGTAATATGAGAAAGAAGGCATATGCCCTATGTTACCCCGACACGGCGAAATTGATCCCGTACCCGTGTCGGGTATGTATTGGGTACGGATCCGCACCCAAACGGCAGGGACACGGCGATTTCACAAAGGAAAAAAAATCAACACAAAATTCTAAACCAGGAACCCTAGAATCCATATCTGAGCTTGGTGGGCTTGGGCTTGCGGCGGTTGGGGATGGGAGCCTTCACGTCGTCAACGGGGTAAAACTTCGGCGGATTCTCGAGCGGGAGAGCTTGCCGATCCCTCGAACGAGATCTGCGTTCCTAGATGAAACCATAGCGGTTTTGCGAGGGGCCATTGAGGGAGGACTGCGGAAACCCTAGAAACTGGCGGCGAGGAGAAAGGGAGGAGGCGACGAATTCAGAAACCCTAGAGGTCGAGGTTTGAGGAGAAATGAGAGGAGGCGGCGAATGGCAGAAACCCTAGAGAGGGAGGTTGAGCTTTTATATGGGGAGTTTGGGTTTGGGTTGTTTTCAATAACCCGTTTGGTTTTTTTTGGTTAAAACAGGGACGGGTTTGGGTTTGGTTTTTTTTTCAATCACCTGTTTGTTTGTTTTTTTCTTTTTTTTCTTTTGAAATAGGGAGGGGTTTGGGTTTGGGTTTTTTGGGATATAGAACTAACTTTTAGAGGTATATTTGCAACTTTAAACAATATACTTGTAATATTTTGAGGGATGCTTGTCATATTTTGGGGTATATTTGCAAATGTAATAGGTATTTAATTCAATATTGATCTAAAGTGAATTATTTTATATATACAGCCGTGTCCCCGTACCCTACTTTTTACAAATTTGCCGTGTCCCGTACCCGTACCCGTACCCGTACCCGTACCAAGGCAACATAGCATATGCCTGACTTGATCTGGTAGTTATAACTCATTTTGAATGTAGGATTAAAGTCAGGACCCCTCTACTTATAAAGCAAGTATTTTTGTTAAGTTGCTTCAGTCGTAGGCACTTTAAATATGAGCTGTAAAGCAAACAAAAGAGATGCCACTTTTCGTGATTATGGGTAATAGATCTTTCTGGGGTCATGAAACCAAACCTTTGGATTCTTGGCAAGGTATGTTTGGGCATGAAATAAAACAAACAAGGCCAGTCGACGGGTAGGAAATACTTGTCAATATAGACCGCACTCATCTCTAAGAATTCAAGGCAAAGCAAAACGAAATCATATTCCCATATGTATAGCTGACAAATGGTAACACACTAAATTAAGCGCACCAATCAAGCATGAATCAATAAGTAGAAACACACTTAACAATTTGAAGTTTTGAGCTCCTATTTATCAAATTAACTCACCAGTTACCACTAATTTTTCCAGTTTTGTGCATGGTTCTTCCTTATAACTAATAATTTTCCGTGACTGTAATTTCGAGAAAGCTGTAGTTAGAAGGAGAAAGACAATAATTGTTTTTTATGGTACTCGCGAAGTCCTATATGGCAGCTACAAGGTCTTCCAGCTTTATGAATGGGAATTGGCAACATATGGTGCGCCCAACAATTGGATATGGCAGAAATAAATCACTTACAGATGGATGAACTCAGACACAAGGTTAATGAAGTTGAAACAAGATACAAGGTCATGACTGCATATGTAAGAAGTTGGAAGTAGAATGATAAAGAAGAGAAAGAATTGTTGAAGATAATTTTTCACGCGCAGGGCGACTTCTTCCTGCTCCAGTTAGGATTAGCAATATAATTGAAGCTGAAGATTGGAGGCATACCCAAACACAATTACTACATTAATAGCTGATATGACCCTAAGCATGGGTGAAGAGAGAACAATTGTTAATATAGTCAACGACAAAAATCACATTAAAGGTGTTTACTTTTGCATTTCACTTCTAGTGATTACCTATAAAATCACTTGTTCTATTGGCCTCTAAACTCTATCCTCAACCAAACATCCCACACAATTAACTATCAGATTCAACATTTTTGTATCCAAATAGTTGTTAAAAAGATAACATCTTTCCAGCAGAAAACCAGCTTCCAATTCACTTCATCTTCTATCTTCAATGTTTCAAACAGGTAATGCACAGCATTTGATATTAAAATCACCTTAAATTGAACCAAACTAAGAAAAACCCCATAAAACAAACAGTAATGCTAGTTAAAAGTCAAAACATAATCAGAAAACTTACGTAAGCGCTCGAAATATATCATTGATCTCGCCAGCTATCTGCTCCAACTCAGCGCTCATCGGGAAATCGCTAGCCATTTCCCTTCCAACTCTCAAATTTCCAACTCAAATTCCTCTCAGCTCCACAATTTCAAACCATCAGGAAACTTGCAATATAGGAAATCTTTCGCTTTTGTCGGTCTCCCCGTCGATAATCAGAGAGAGGAGACACCAAAACCCTAACCCTAGCCTACTGGTAGGATCAAAGGCTCGGGGATTTAGGGGTTTTTTGAATTTTGGATTTCTAGGGTTTGGATACAAAACGTGGGGAATTTGGGGGAAAGAGAAACCAAGGCGGAATAGCTGTCTGTTTCTTTAATTTAATTTTTAAAATTTATTTCATTTTGAATTAAGTCATGTATTTGAGGGTGGAATTCTTTAGCTTGGAGCTTTGTTGGGGAGCAACATAAGCGGAGGGCGTCGCGGTTTATACACAGGCTACAGCTCTACAATGAGAAGGCTAGTTAGATATATTTCACGAAAACCCCAGACTTTAGCCGTTTCCCATTCAAGCCCCCGAACTTCGTTTTTACCAGTAAAACTCCCAACTTTTCCCCACGAAATCCCTCAACTTTCACGCCATCAGTCTTGAACCAAAATCTTCACCTAATGTTAATTGTAGTTGTAGAGATCTGAGTAATGGCTCCTGAATCACAACAAATATATCTTTTCAATTGAGCAAATTTGGATGAGGAAACTATATTAGAAAATAAACATGATAAATTTGCTATTATTACAAACATGATTCATTAGAAAATAAGCTTACGTATCATAAAATCTCTCTTAACTTTGAACAATTAACAGATAAACCCCCATAACTTTCAAAATATCAGAAATTCTCCCTTAAGTTAATACTTTTTAAAAAAAAAACCTTTGACTTTAAGATTTTATCATAGAACCCCCCTAATAGTGTTAACCAATATTTAACTTATTTGCTGATTATAAGTAGGGGGTTCGGTAAGAAAAAATTTAAGTTCAAGGGTTTTTTGCGAGATGCATGAAAATTCAAGGGGTTTAGTGGGAAAAAAAATCAATGAATTATCTACAATACTTCAAAAACCAAAATTCAGATGGGCTTCTAAGGCTAAATTAGTTCCGGGGGGCTTTTTTGAAATCAACCCATTTTATTGAGGAGTTTTTAGATTTTAGTCCCTCAAATCATATGTAGTTTATATTAGTCCCTCAAATCTTTATATTTTGATGTTAGTCTCTCAATTATCATGAGTGTGGATATTGATCCCTCCGTTAAGCTTTTTCATTCAAAACACCTAACCCTAGTTAGGTTTAGCTTAACCACATATAGTTAATTGCCTAAATACACTCTCCTATTAAAACCTCAGCTGATTCATTTCCCTCTCTCTTCTCTCTTTGGTGCAGCCACGACCACCGGAGATCCCTGATCCTGTAAGTATCGTGGTGGCAGTAGAGATGGTGGTGGTGGTGAGGATGGAGGAGGAGAGGGAAGTGGCGGCGATGACGACGGTCTTGTATCAGCGGGTCAATTATAGGAAAGAGGGAAGCAAATGTAGCTTTTGTTTAGAGATGGGGTTTTAAGTTACTGTAAACTTCATGAGCCTTATAATATCTTTGTGTGGTTTGTTTGACAGTTGAGAAAATTTTTAGCTACTTTTGGGCTTGTGTGATCACTTTTTTTGCTCTTGAAAAGAGTGTGAAAATGGGTAATTTGGATTTGGCTTGGAGATTTGAGTCTTCCCTTGATAATTGATATTTTCCGGGCCCTATATTTCTCTTCCCCTTAAGAAGTTGGACCATTTTGTTGCTCATGTTATATTTTTGTAAATAGTAATCCCTCTAGAAAGTGTTGGTGCTTTAACTTTGTCTATGGCCTTTTTCTAGTGGAGTTTGGGAGTTGTTAGCAGGCTTAATGAGCTGGGAAGACAAAGATTTTGGGTAGATGAACTGTTTTAAATCAAATGGATGGAAGGAAGAAGATAGGGTTTAAATGGGTTTGGGTTTGGGTTTGTGATTAATGGGTTTGAGGCCTCTAATGGGTACGAGTTAAATAGGTAATGTGTTTGAGTTTATAATTTAAGGGCTATAATGATCAATCCACCCAAAAAAATCAGAGTTAACCAAAATATTTCCTAAAATCATAACACCGACTAACTACATGACTAACATCAACACACTAATAATATTTGAGGGGCTAATATCAAAATATAAAGATTTGATGGACTAATACCGAAATAGCGATGACGTAAGGGACTAATATGGAAAAAAACCCCTTTATTTATCCCCAAAGTATATTTAAGCTCCTTTCGGGTAATGCGGGTCTCCAGGCCCGACCCAATGCTTCTGAGCGACCCGCTATTTTTGGCAAATTTGTACCTGCGGACCAGGATAAGGGAGGGCAGTTGACAAGGTGGAGGCCAGGTAGGATGTGCTGTCTCCATAGGGTCGGAATTGTCCCTACCTAACGACCACCGCCCATGTGACGTCTGGGACCCCACACAACGAAAAGCTGAACGATTTGTGAACTTGTCGTTTGTCTCGAAGAGTGAAGGCGCACATAACACAACTTACAAAATATTCTTATGAATTATTAGAAGAATTAATTGGAGTTATGAGTATATACTTTACCGTGTATTTTAATATTTAGGGCTTTTTTTTATATTTTAGTTCTCTTTAGTATTTGGAAATTAATCCCTCGAGTCATTGAAATTGTAATAACTCCCTCCGTACTTATATCTTGCTATTGGTGCTTGTGATTGGAGATATTAATTTGAATGACGTGTAAGAATTGAGGGATCTAATATAGATTTTAGTGATTTGATGGACTATTTTTAAAGACGCTCATAAGACTTAGGGGCTGTTTGGTTATATGTTTTTACCATGTAAAAGGATGGAAAGTATAAAAAAGTGGGTCCCAATGTCAGATTTCATCGCTTTCAATTGTTTGTTTGTAGTTGTGAAAATAGTGTAAAGTGATTTCATATGCTGATGTGACTTGTAAAGTGATTTCATAAAAAAAAAGACATGATTTTAGGAGAAAGCTGACATTGAAGTCAGGAAAAAATAATAAAAAACAATTCCAACCAATATGATCATTTGAGTAGGGACCACTTTTTACACTTTCCAAACAAACAATTAAAGTTACATTTACAAACCAAACAAGCAATTTATGATTCCAATAGAATAAAAAACAAACAAAGAAAAATATAAAAGTAAAATTGATGAGGTGGACAACAACTTTCCAAGTTGTATCATAAATACACAACTTTACCAACAACAACCAAACAGCCCCTTAGGGTCGTCGATAGCTTTTTTTCATGATTTGAGCGCCCCAAACCCAAATGCTCAAGATTTAGGGGGCTAGTATTAAAAAATACCTTATCTCTGTGTATTTAATATTTTAAAGCGGATTAATTTATAGATAAATATTTGAGTAATGTATTAGAGAAACTCTTACTAATCTCGACTAAGCACATATTTGCTTATATTTTCTATGATGTAAAAAAAGCACCATATGTTAGTTCGTTTAGAAATAAAAAAATAAGCTTTGCTACAATAACCCAAAATATAGGACTAACATGGGGACATGTTAGGGGTTCCCCTCCTATAATAAAAAGCAATATAATCTTTTCTCTCAATTATCGCCTGTGAAATCTTGTTGACTGCGAGGTATCCTAATTACTATAATTGAGGGACTAACTCCACTACCAAAATTCTCACATCCCCCAATTTTCCTTTTGATTCTTTTAGTGCTATCTTTTGTGCATTTGAGCATACATATGTAGCATAATTTATGCAACTTTTGAGATCCAAGTGGAATATTAATGGAAGTAGATTAGTCGTGAAATAATTAGTGCACAATTCTTGAAGAGAAATTGAATAGTCAATAAGAGAAGATACATGAATGCTTTAATTATGGGTTCATTTTCTCACTAATACTCATATTAAATGTATTATTAGTAGGTTCAAAAGGGGTGATGTCATAAATTAACTTGTTAGCTAGGATCTAATTATTATATTGCAATAGTTTTTCATGAAAAAAAAAATACTAAGATACATCTAAACTAAACTGAAAATCCAGTAGCACAACTAAAGAATGAGGTTTAGCGCTGCTCCTTATCAAACTGCAAAATGGTGTAAAAATGATGGATGGCCTTCGAGCCATACCTCAAAGTCATTAATTTCCTTAGCTCTTTGGACCAATACGTGAGCTGTTGTATTATCCATTTGATGAACTACTTGAAAATCTCATTCCTCAAGTCGTGCAATATCTTTAAATATTATCTGCAAAGTGTCCAAAAATTAAGTGTTGCTCCACCTCATTATGAATATATCTCTAATTATCACCTCCACGTTTTCTTCAAAATTACCTTCCCATATTCAGTGTCAAGAGCAAATGTAATAGTTTCCCACACCTCTTGGAATCCTACATGCTCAGAATTACCTCGCATCCAAGTACTATGATAAGTATATTGCAATAGCTTGTTATATATATTATGATAATTTATATGTTATTTCTAGACTACACCAAGAGGTTAATATTTACATTAGTTTTCCTCTCCACAAATAATTTTTTATACATCAGATGCACATATCAATATATTATAGTATTAGATTAGATGTTAGTTTTTTTATTAAATATTAAATTATCTTAAATTACGATATAATCTATAAATATAAGTTATGATATTGTTATCTTGTATATTAAAATTGTATACTTATTGTATAATATCTAATATCTAAAGTGAAATATTTATCTTATTTTACATAAGAGAAATATGGTTATAATTTATAATATATATTAGTTCTTATGTTTAGTGTAAGAATAATTATAGTGTAATAAATAGAATGAATTAAATAAAATTTGAGGAATATGACTAAAATTTATAATATATATTTAGTTTTCAATATTAGTTCTTATGTTTATTGCAAGAATAATAATTATAGTGTAATAAATAAAATAAACTGAATAAATCTCAAGGCATTGTTGGGAATTATAAAATTTTAGAATGGTAAAATAGGCAATCAAAAGTTTTAGCACAAAATCTTCTTTTATAAATAGTATAGATATAGATTATCCCAAACAAATGTGATGTGTGCATGACACCAAGCATGGTTGCCAATGCTAAAGTTGAATTGTCAAGAGAACAAATAATTTGTTACTTTTTGTTGGCTTTTTTCCAGATCTAAAGGCATTTTTGCTGACTTTTTCAGTTTTAAATGTATTTCTTTTGCACTTTCAGATAATTAAAAATGGAGCTCACGCTAAAAAAAAGGGAGGGCTTCTTTTTAATAACAGTGTAGATGGATAGATTTATTAGCAATAATTTGTATTGGGGCCTGGAATTTGAGCAAGAACTTCTGAGAACATGCATCCATTTCTTACCGCGAGTGGACCATGG